AGGGGGGGGGGGTTTATATGTTATACCTGGATGTAGTGGGAGAGTCTTTTGTCACATTTTTAGTTGATTAAATGTAACTATGATTTTTGGAACATTGTTTTTGTATAAGAAAGGGTTGATCAAGTGTAGCCATGATGGAAATGAAAATAAAGATCAATGAAACTTTAAAAATGTCTGTTGTACAGTAAATGAGCCAATTTTTCAAGAATACATAAACATAACAATACATGTGAATATATGCTCACAATGTTCTGTAAACATCAGAAAGTCAAGGACACAAATCAATATAGTGGGGGAAATATGTTGTGGTTTAGAACTGTTTCATTATTAAAGAGAAAATATGTAGCCGGCCGGATAGCTCAGTTGGTTTTCTGACAGTCATGGGTTCAAGTCATGGTCAGGCAGTTTCAGTCAGGGTTTAGAAATGGTTTTTCAACTGACACATGTTTGATTCATTTAACAGATTGTATTAAATTTGAAATAGACTAAAGCAGAATTGCATGATACTTTTAGATCTACAAAAGGCATTTGATACAGTTGAATATACTGCATATGAAGAAGAGTTCTTCTTCTTCTTCATGAAACTTCAAGCATCTGCCATAGGTAATGACATTCTTACATGGTTCAAGTCTTATCTCTGATAGACAGCAGTTGGTGGATGTGGCTGGTACTCATTCTACTACTGCTCTGAGTACCTTTGGTGTCCCCCTGAGGTTCAATTTAGGTCCTCTTTTATGGCTAATATATGTCAATGACATGTCCGCAACCCTAAGCAATAAGCTTTTATTATATGCTGATGACTCAGGTATCCTCATATCTGAAGAAATTCTCTCTTATGGCATGAGTCTTATAAGATTGGTTAATTGACTATAAATTGTCTTTGCATCTTGGCAAGACAGAGTCTATTCTTTTTGGTTTAAGTTTCAACTTAAACTGGGCCTAGCCTTCAGGTCACATGTAATGGTACTGCAATAAAGTACACATATTTTGTTAAGTATTTAGGTGCAAAACTTGATCAAATTTTTTGGCGTCGCCTTTGATGCTTTGCATCAATGCTTTTCTTGTTGACCATATTTATATTATTTTGTAAATTGTTTATACACTGAATAGGTTGAAAAGCATGTCACTGACCCATACTAAACTGAATTCACAGACATGCATGATTTCTTTTTGTGTTATTACAAAGAACTTCAACCATGAGATTATCTAACATTACCATTATGAAAATTCCAAGAAGCGAAGTTTGAACATCACATAATTTACAGAATAAGCACAAACCTTTCTGTCCCTGGACCTTATATGTCCATTTAAAGTTATGTGTTCCAACTTCAAAAGCCTCATTGTCTTTTAATTGATGCATGTCAACGTCATTTTCTCCTCCATAGATTAAGAATACCTGAAAACAGATAATATTCTATAAAAATTTTGAACATGCCGTTTTGATTTAAGTTTTTTTAATGCACAAGTATTGTGTTGTTACTTTGAAACTATTTACAAAAAAATTGATGCAACAAATTTGATTACAATAACAGGTTAATAAAAGAAAATAAAAAACGAGAAATGTGTCGTCACGCCCTGGATGCCCCCGCATGCAGCCGAAATTTCAGATGTTATAATATTTAGTTCACAAAATATTTGTTTTTCATTTTAAGTTCAAAGCCCTTAAAACTATTCAATGTTAACACAAACCATTTTCATACAAAGTTCTAGGCAATGAAACTATTCAGTGTAAACCTTTTGTAAATTGCATATTGCATATTTGTAGCCAATTAATGACTACAAATACACTTCCACAAAAGTATGAGTTCTGAAACTGAAAATTCAAAATTTTTCCAACATTCAAGAGAGACAGATTAATCCAAATATATATTAACATGCAAGTGTACATAAAAACACAATGCCCCCACAGCCACTGCCTCGACACCATCTGTCTGATTCCGTTGCGATTGCAATTTTCTACTAGAGTGAAGGGCCCCCTTGACAGACATGTAAGTCTCGAAGCCCTAGGCTCAGTGGAACGACTGTGAGAGCTCGGCGCGCGCGGCCCATTTTCGTTGTTTCGTCCATATTAACATGCAAGTGTACGTAAAAACACATCGCCCCACAGCCACCTGCTAGCGACCGCTGGCTTTCCATAGCAACCAGTGAACCACCTTAGCAACCATTGACTTCCCTAGCAACCAATGACTTCCATAGCAACCAGTGACACTTCATAGCGACCACGGACTACCGTTGCAACTTGCAACGACCGACTCCCTACAGCAACCAGTGTCTCGCATAGCAAGCAGTGACTTCCCGTGGCCACCATAGACTTCTTAAGCACCCAGTGACTGTCCGTGACTACTAGTATCATTGATTTCCCACAGCAACCACAGACTTCCCCTGGCGATCGCTGACTTTCCACAACAGCCATAACCTCTCCATAGCGACCGCTGGATTTCCATAGCAACCAGTGAACCACCTTAGCAACCACTGACTTCCATAGCGACCATTGACTTTCCCTAGCATGCAATGACTTTCATAGCAACCAGTGACACTTCATAGCGACCACGGACTACCGTTGCAACCACCGACTCCCCACAGCAACCAGTGTCTCGCATAGCAAGCAGTGACTTCCCATGGCCACAATAGGCTTTTTAAAGGGACTCCACTGAGGTTTTTTGACATGACGGGACTGGAAACATTTTTTTAGATTATTACTCCATTTGATGTAGATCTATACTAATAACTTATGTGCCAAATTTCAGATCATTAGCTCGCTCCGTTTTTCCAGAATGATTATTATAATAGTAAAAAATGACCCAAAATTGAAAAGCGTTTAAACGCTTTTCATTCAAATCGGACTGAGAATAGCGCAAAAATATGATTTTAAATGTATTTCTTGTGTATTTCTTAGTTATACTTTATTTATATTTCTGTTTAAAATGCTCAGGTTTATCTATGAGAAAAATTAAAATATTATGTTTTAGGCTTATAAACCTAAGTGGAGTTTCTTTAAGCACGCAGTGACTGTCCGTGACTATCAGTGACTTCCCACAGCAACCACTGACTTCCCCTAGCGACCACTGACTTTCCACAACAGCCATAACCTCTCCATAGCGACCGCTTGCTTTCCATAGCAACCAGTGAACCACCTTAGCAACCACTGACTTCCATAGCGACCATTTTCTTTCCAAAGCAACCAATGATTCCATAGCAACCAGTGACACTTCATAGCGACCACGGACTACCGTTGCAACCACCGACTCCCCGCAGCAACCAGTGTCTCGCATAGCAAGCAGTGACTTCCCACTGCTTCGAAACCATCCGTCCGATTCCGTTGCGGATTCGATTGTGTACAAGTGTGAAGCAAGCGATGGAGAGAAATGTAAGTCTCATAGCGCTAGCCCAAGTAGAACGTCCGCGAGAACTCGGCGCGCTCGGCCCGTTTTCGTACATTTATATGATACCAACCGTGACAAAATGTGTTTTATATGTACATGTGTGTTATTTAGTAGTTTTAATGTATAACAAGATGTATAAGTTAAATAAAATGAAATTTTCTTCTTCTTCTTCTTCTTCCTTCTTCTTCTTCTTCTTCTGCTTGTAAATTTGTTCATATTTTGTAGTCATTGAAATTCTCTGGATAAAATTCCATTGGGGAAGGATGTTCAATTTGCTGTTTATTGTTGAGGGGCTTTTCGAGGGCTGATTTTGTTATGTCGCAATTTTTATACAGGTGCTTTTGGTCATTTAAAATTATAACCAACTGAGGGGCTTTTGGTTAAGAACCTTTTCTCATCATTCTTTATAAACTGGTGAACAAAATATCACGGTAGGGAATCACGTGACTTTTACGGTTACTCGTACAGACAATATGGCGGCATAAAAACCTCGCTTCATATGTGTTTTTCAGGTAATTCTTTATTATATCCCTTTTACTTGCATACGAGACCTGTTGCAGCCTACGCGGAATAAAGAATTGTTGCCGCCTATACCTTATTTTCCACCCCTGTGCTCATAGCTTTTACAAACACTCAAAAATTCAACAGGAATTTTCAATGTTAACAATTATTTTTCAGGTAACTTTCACGCAATCTTTGTATTTTTTATTAATTTGATTAAACCACGCCGAGTTAGCAAAGAGAAAATGTTCATAGAATTTCTTTATTTGAAAATGTAAATATTAGGCATGTTAAATGTTGACTGGTCATTTTCAATTCCAATACACGAGGGAAAAATGATTTGGGTAACGGCCACGCAAACTTTTATTGTTGATAACTCCCACGCAATATTTTATGTGCAAGCAATATCTATGCAGGCTATAGCCTAGATATTGATTTAACAAAATCATGATCGATGTATTTAGCCTTAAACGTTCATAGAATTTTGAATAATATTTAAAATACCGCCAAAAGGTCCTGGATAGAATTAAGCGCCTATGGGTAGCAGAATACATACTCACGTAAATATATTAAATGAAGTTTCGATATAAAGATATAGATGAATTAATCGCAGAAATTGAAATAAAAGTCTCAAATATAAGAAGGAGGTCGATTTCAGTTTAAGCACAATTACAGTTGTCATTTTTCATAGTTTGCAGATATGGACGGTTGCAGCTCGGATATTGTTTGTGGATAATGTTGGAAAACATTTCGTTCATGGACAGGTCTTAATGACCATTTAAACTGGCTACTCGGCACAGGACCTTGTAAACGTTGTTGCAAATCGAACTGTCACAGGTATGGCATTTTACTGTTAATATTAAGATTTTAAAGACATTCAAATCATTTTATCACTTAGTCTCTTATGTAACCAATTATTTTTAAAATTAGTGTCTGTATTTAACATAATTATGTTTTTTTTTAATTCTAAAGCAAAAAAACAAAAAAAAAAACAACAACAACAACAAACCAAACAACAAGAGGGCCATGATGGCCCTTAGTCGCTCATCAGAAACAACTGCTTTTCAGTGTTGGATTGTCAATATATTCTAATATTAAATTTGAGCATAGAATATGTTTAAACAATGATTTTAAGAAATGCCATGACCTGGGGCATTTAAGCTTTAGCTTAAACGGGACCAATCAAATTAATATGAGCAAACTTGATAAAAGACTACCAAAGAATGCTGCAGACAAAGTTTGGTGATCATCAATCAATTAGTTCTCTACAAATAGACATTTAACGGTATTTCTATTTTTAGCTTTAGTGGCCCCTAAAAGGGGCTAATCAGATTAATATAAAAGAGTACCCAAGAATGCTACAGACAAAGTTTGGTGATCATCCATCAATTGGTTCTGAAGTAGAAGATATTTTTAGCTATCGCGGACCCTAAAAGGGGCCAATCAAATTAATGTGAGCAAACTTGATAAATGATTACCCAAAAATGCTACAGACAAAGTTTGGTGATCATCCATTCATTAGTTCTACAGGAGAAGCTGTTAAAAACATATTTCTATTTTTAATTTTAGTGGCCCCTAAAAAGGGCTAATCAAATTCACATGAGCAAACTTGATAAAAGACTACCCAAGAATGCTACCGACAAAGTTTGGTGATCATCCATCAATTATTTCTGTAGAAGAAGATGTTTAAAGGTTTTTCTATTTTTAGCCCTAGAGATGCCTAAAAGGGGCCAATCAAATTAATATGAGCAAACCTGATAAAAGACTTCCCAAGAATGCTACTGACAAAGTTTGGTGATCATCCATCGATTAGTTCTGTACAAGAAGATGTTTAAAGGTTTTTCTATTTTTAGAAGACGATTGTTGACGCATGATGACGGACGATCGACGCCGGAGCATCCCCGTTTGATACTATAATAGCTCACCCTGAGCCTTCGGCTCTGGTGAGCTAAAAAAAAACAACCCTAAAGCATATTAGAATGGGTCTTTTTTTACAAACTAGGTAATAAAATCTAGAGGACTTATGTTTGATTGTTATTTTAATACTAACAGTAAAACCCGTAACGTTTCCGATTTGCTGAGCTATAAAATGTTTTACCACAAAAGTTATAAGGTCCTGTGCCGATGTGGTCATTCCGTGAATGAAATGTTTCCCACATTTATCACAATCAATATCCGAGCTGGAAACTTTCATATCTGCAAAATATGAAAAATGTCAACTGTAATTATACTAAAAAAAGAAATACAAAACCTCCTTCTAATATTTGATACTTTTGTATTAAAACGCGACCTAATTGAATGATTTGGGTTTGGTAGGCCTTACGCGAAGTTATTGATGTCCTTGGCAATTTGTGATTTTACAGGTCATGCCTTTTTGAAATTTATTTATCGTATTATTGTAACCTATAAGCAGATGAAGTGTTATTCGGCCCATATCAAGAACGTCCCAAGACGATTCGTCAATCTAGCTGTATTTATATCTTAGTGATAGTAAAAATATGCGTGAATTAGTTTGAAAAAATCATTATATTCATTGCATTATCGACACAAATATTGATTAAACTGTTCTTTAATGTTAAATTTTAAGCTTAATTGTCGTGAATTTATAGGTAATAATAAATCTATTTTTATATTCTAGATCCTGGTCCTGGCTGAAATTGAGAGTATTGCAGCTGTAGTTTGTATACCATACATTTCACATGAAAAGGACTGTCAGGTTTGTTGAATTGAAATTCTAATATTTAATATATATATATACTTCTTAACAAAGTATTAAAATTGCAACTACTGGACATTTATCTTGTCTTAATAATACATGTATATTATTTTTAGAATACTTGTGTAACATTATTAATATAAAATTTACATATTTGTTGTTTTCAGGATGCTGCATACAATGGTCTTAGCTAGAGCCTAGAATGAATATTTCTTAGGAATATGCTGCAAGTAACTGAAGGGGAGCAGTGTTTCTTACCTATCATAGGTGAGACTTCTAAATAGCTTCTTTTAAAAAAGTTTTTGCTGTTTTATGTACATTATTTGCTGTCAATATGGAACTTCAGCTGTATCTTAATTTCTATGCTGTTTTATTATGTAAATCTTAGAGATAATCATTTTAAGATAAAACATATCACTAATTTAAGTTGATTAATTATATATATATTTAAGATTGACCAAGTCACTTTTAATAAGTTACTTCTTATTTTATTTGCAGAAGCAGTAAGAGACAGCCAACGAAGTATTCAAACACCATATGAAACACTTAAGACATACCAGGAGAGATCTAGAAGAAGTACTAGTAGTAGAGTGGAACAGATTGTAGCTTAATTCTAGCTAAAAAGACTTCTTAAATCGTTAAAATTAAAGCTGCATTTAAACTGTCTTTTTTTGTTAAACAGTTATACTCTGTTACTTTGCTTTATATTTAAAATTGAAGTATGTTTGAAATGACATTGAAACTTTAACGTTGTGCCAACGTTGAATTTCAACGTTGTTTAAACTTTCAAATCCGAACATAAATCCAACGTTATTTCAACGTTAAAATCTGACCATAATTCAACGTTGTTAAACGTTTATGTGCCTGCTGGTTTAATTCTATCCAGGACCTATTGGCGGTATTTTAAATATTATTCAAAGTTATTTGAAAGTCTGAGGCTAAATGCATCAGTCATGATTTGTTAAATCAATATCTAGGCTAAAACCTGCATAGATATTGCCTGCACATAAAATATTGCGTGGGAGTTATCAACAATAAAAGTTTGCGTGGCCGTTACCCAAATCAATTTTCTCTTGTGTGTTGGAATAGAAAATGTCCAGTCAACATTTAACATGCCTAATATTTACGTTATCAAATAAAGACATTCTATGCACATTTTCTCTTTGATAAGTCGACGAAGTTTAATCAAATTCATAAAAAGTACAAATTTTGCGTGAATGTTACCCGCAAAATAATTGTCGACATTGAAAAATCCTGTTGAATTTTTGAGTGTTTGTGAAAGCTTTGAGCACAGGGGTGGAAAATAAGGTATAGGCGGCAACAATTCTTTATTTCGCGTAGGCTGCAACAGGTCTCATATGCAAGTAAAAGGGATATAATAAAGAATTACCTGAAAAACACATGTGAAGCGAGGTTTTAGGCCGCCATATTGTCTGTACGCGTAACCGTAAAAGTCACGTGATTCCCTACCGTGAATATAGAAACTTATCAGCGTATCAACACGTATAGGAAATTCCATGTAAATCAACTTGTTTCATAAAGAAACAATTCTACTTGAATGATGCGCAATTAAAATACAATGTAGATTTATTTTGTCATGTTTGAAGAATCCGTAGCCTATAATTATAATGAAATAACAAATAACAAAAGTATAACTTTAAAAATACTCGACCTGATTTGTAGTATGTGAAATTGTTCTGTGGAGTAATGTTCATGCTAAATGTTTATAAAAATTTATGCGTAAATTTGTAAAAATGCAGCTCTCTTTTCTTGTAAAAAAATACTTAGCGAACCTTCTTTGCTTAATACTACGTGTCTTGTCTTTTCAATTAACGGATCAGCATTGTAATTACAGTGTAACTTCCGAATTCCGGAACTTCTGAAATCCGGAAACTTCTAAAAACCGAACAATTTTTTCGGTCCCGATTTTTTCCCTTCTTTTTTCTATTAATAAAATACTTCTGAATTCCGGAACTTCTAAATTCTGAATTCCGGACGATATTTTCGTAAAATTAGAGTCAAATCAATGCAATTTTACCTCCAAAAACCGGAAATATCCAAAGGTGTGAAAAACATTGTAAATCGAGAATGTTTACCCTGCAGGAAGATTAAATCTCCCTATCGATTGTTTACCAATTAGCGGTGATCGTGTAATTTGACACACGTTAAAATCACAAACTGTGAAATGGTATGTTTGAAGTGATGCGGTTAATTAAAGTAATTTACGGCAGTCAGTTAATTTGAAGTGTTTATTAGCGGATTAAATGACAATTAGTTGGGACAATGTATGCATCAAACGTCTTTAGGGATTTTATTGCATTTGATGTACAAATCAATCAACTAGCATCGGACAATATGTAAGTTTATGCAGTTTAGGCACAGTAACAAAAACGAAAACGAGGCTCGAAAATATGGCCGCTTTTTTCAAATAGTGAAACTCGAAATGTAAAAAAAATTGGTGTTTGCGAAGAAAACTGGAAAATATTTGGATATATTGATTTGGAAACTATATTTGTTTAGTATCTTTGATAATACTTAGTGATTTTATGGAAATAATCGTGAAAATTTGGACATTACTGTGAAACTGTGAAAAAACTGTGAAAAGTCATGGCTTCTAACGATACTGGTAAGAAAACTTGCGGACAAAACATAAACAAAGGTAACCATTCAACAAACCCTGCAAGCTCGCCAGGGTCAGATGGTGTAAATAGAGCCCCCCAAAACAGTGCAACATTCATTCCACCTTATAGCGGGCTACAATATCCATTCTTGCCACCCTTCCACATTCCAGGAATCCCTGGGTATGCGCCAACATCAAGTCCTCTTCAGACATACAATTATGACAATACAAATTCAAATGAAACATTATATGATCTAATGCGACAAATGTCCAACAGTATGCAGTCTATGGACAGTCGCTTGAAATCTATTGAGCAAAATGTAGATAAAATATCAAAAATTGAACAAAATGTTGCTTACCTAAAAGTAAATGTGCAGAAACTCGCGGAAGAAAATAAATCCATGTCTACTAGAATAGCTCACACAGAAAACTCCTGCTCATATATAAGTGGTATTTCTGATGATCTGCTTAAGTCAAAAAGTGAGACCGAAGAATCTGTGAGGCAGTTAAAGGCAACCAACAAAAATCTTCAGTCGCAAATCGATGAACTCGAACACAAAAACAATTATTTAGAAAGTAAACATATAGACATGTATAATAAATGCCTCGACACACAATGCGATGTCCTGAAAAATAACCTCATTGTATTCGGTGTAAATGAGGCCCGCCGAGGATTTGACCAGGATCAAAATGCACCTAGAATTCAACCAGAAATCCCAGAAGTTACCATTAGAAAAACCCTGAAAGACAGTATACAAAACAATATTGATATAAACAAGGAGGCCCCAATTGACGTAGACTCCATAAAATTCTCGCAAGTGAAAAGGATCGGTGATCCTGTGAAAGCAGCAGAGTCGCATCGCCCGAGACCTATAGTGGCATCATTTGAATCATTTAGTGATAGAGAAAATGTAAGAAAAGCAGGCATACTATTTAATAAAAGTCAAAAACAGATTAAAATTCATGAACATTTCCCCAGAGAAGTAGAAGATCGGAGAAAAAAATTGTATTATCCTGCTCGAAAACTATCAGAACAAGATCAAAAGGTTGTGTTAGTCAAAGATCGTCTTTATGTCAATAATAAACTGTTTGACCCACAAACTTACAAATATACAGACAAATTTGGTAACACTAAATTTCTAGCAAAGCCACAGCCTCCGGCATACGGCGATAGTAACCGATACATCCATCCATCACATATTAACACTTCGGAAGGACCAAGTAATATCCCTGTACAGGGACACGCTCATTCACAAGACAATGGTTTCAAAAACACATATCGTTATAAACCGAGCATACAAAACCGGAAGCGTTTGGATTCTTCAAGACCTTTGGATTTCACTACCCCAAACCGGTATCAATCACTTGCGGTATTAGACCGCACCGACCAACAGAAACGGAAAGTTTGTTCCCCACTAGATATAGAGTTTGTAACAAAGCGTCTAGATGACAGTTCTTCACCGAGCTCCCACGCCACGACAATTCATGGAAACTTCTCGGGAAAAGAAATTCCGTTAGTTTCTTTATTAAATGACGAAATAATAACAGATTCAGTTAATGAGAATTTGCCAGTAATTACACCGCCCGCGCCTCAAATAGTGTAGGACAGATGTGGAGAGTCACGTGATCAATTTAGTGACCTAGTAAACTATTATCGCAGTCGACAGTGTCAGTTTTGCTATACAGCAGATATTGTATGTGAAATGCTTGAATGCACGTGTAAATTTTACCGTTTAAATAACATCTACTGTTTACAACTATTCTATGTAAACGCCTGTTTGATTTTGTATTGCACTTTTCATCGTATGATCTTCAATATACATAATCAATTTGTAGAAACGGCATACTATCACCCATTAGAATATAAAGCAAAGGGTAACCCGTCTAAATATGAATACCCCAACAATGTAAATATAAGAAATGATAACTTGTTTCCAATTGAATGGACCGGGACGCATACTGTTAATTTCTTACCCTTGTTTATTTATGCGATCACGTATTTTCAATTTCTCTTCTGTAACACACATTGTTTAAAAGCTCAATATCAATTATTGATTGTCATTCAGTACATATTTTATGTAATTAGCTATCTAAAATTGTGTTGCGCATTTTTCCTGACATATGCGTTGTTATTTTTCTTCTACACAACGTTAACAGATTTTCTCATGTATTTTTGTTACTACCACATAAATTTTAATATGATAGGACGTAAATTCCATTTTCATATCACCACCATATACTGTTTAGAATTGTTGAATCTAATGTTAATTTTACAAAATTTTGTATATTTTGGTGTGACTTTCTGTAGCGTAATTTACAATATGATTAATTTTTATATTCAAAATCAATCAATTGCCATCCACTTTTTTAAACATGTATTTTTGTCTGAGGTTACGGCATTACATTTTGCGGAGTACTTAATTAACGGTTATCATACTATAAGAGCAAAGATAGAATTATATCGATCTTGCTTTGAATTTTTGACATACTATCTTAATGTAAGAACAGTGCCATTTGGGAAAGAAGAATTATATTTTTTTGCTAATAATAGCTCTAACTGCCACACAACATGTGTTTGTAAATATGCAAAAGCAAACTTGAATAATAATTTATTGTGTATACCATGTTTTCTGCACGAGTGTATGTGCATGTACGTTTGCTCATTTATTCATCTGCATCAACATTTATATTATACTTTGTTAGAATTTGTTTATTTTTACAATGTACTTGTATTCTTTTTTTCAAATATGTATCACTATAGTATCTATAGCAGTAATGATTTTAAAGAAGCCCAACTAGTAAATAACATAGACGTAAATAAAAACAACATAAACAATAACAACGTAAATGATAATAATAATAATAATAATAATAATAATGATGATGATACAAATAATAATAATAATAATAATAATAATAATAATAATAATGATAATAATAATAATAATAATTATGATAATAATCAAATTGATGATAATAATAATAGAAGTAATAATAATGGAAATAACG